ATTGTTAACAGGGTGTGCGGAAGAGACGAGGATTTTCGCTGACGGGATCCAGATTCGGCTGGGTCAACGCCAGTTATGTCTACGGGCTCCAGATTGTCAAACGCCCACATGCGACGTGCTCTCGGCACACTGACGCCGTACGACACGTTTGTCAAGGCCCTCGAACAGATGGAGGAGAAGCACCTCGCAGAGCTTTCTTGAATCGGCCCCTTTTTGAGAGGAAACGTGAGCACACAATGTCGTTCAAGTCTTTCGGACTTATGATGCTGGCTGGGTTTCAGGTGAAGGGAAGGGATGCTAGGCGACTGACGAGACATTGTCAAGGACACGCGGTGCGACGCAATGGAAAACTACACGACGATGACGACGACGACGATGACACACATGGCGGAGCCGAGGCGCAGAGGACGAAACTGAACAACCATGGCAGGTGGGGAAGGTTGATGATAAACAGTAGATCTGGCAGTGAGTCTGGAATAGAAACCATGAAATCCAAGCACGAGACGGGGTGGGGGGCATAGCAGAGTTCTCCTCCTCCGGTCATCGGCAGCAAGTGGCTGGCCTGTTGAATGCCTGCATCAGGAAGACAATCAACCAGTCAGCGGTCCATGTGATTATTCACGGTGGTGTGGGCATTGCGTGCCGGCGCTGATACCGGCAAACAACGGGTCGTCGCGACAAGAGAGTCACAGTGAGCTGGGCAAGGGGCCGAGGCTCGATGTCCCGAAACTCTCCAGCCAGTCCCGAAGCGAAGCCGGGCGGGCAAACCGAAGCAGTCCTCTCTGCACGCACTCGCTGTTGGCTGGAGCCGAGCTAGGCCGGTCTGGCGAGCAATGCATCTCACTGACGGATTCGAGGGGAGGGCGGGCACGGGTTGGATGTTTTTGGTTCGTTATTCGGGGGGGGTCGATCGATGCAGCGCACCTCACGGGTCCCAAGGCTTCCCAAGGCGGCCAAGACGCTGTGATCTTCACATGCCATGATCCTGACATCACTCGGGCGCAGGTACCCCGCAAGGTATGCGACCATCGGGTTATGACCCTACAGAGGGAGATATGCGTATAACAGAGCGGCCGGGACAGGCGCTCTACCGAATCGGCGACTGATTGGAGGTCCGAGCTTCGGTACCTCGGCCAATGACGGCAATGCGGCGGGCGCAGGAATCTGGGGATTTGGGGGTCGAGGGAAGGAGAGATGGGTGAGGCAGCCTTTGAGCCGAGCCCCCAAGGCTACCTTAGGTAGGAAAGGTAGACAGACGTCACTCCCTCTCGTCCATAGACTCTCTCTCGTGCTCCTGCTTTCCCCTCCCCCTCCCTCCACAACCTCAGACATGGCCCGCGCTTGGGCACCCCGATCAGAGGCCAAGAGTCAGAGCTGAAAGGTCAGAAGTCAGACGCCAGAGGTCAATGGTACCTTGACCACAACCGGCCGACGACCCACGCCACTTCAGCCTCTCCCCTACTTCCGAGGCAAAACGATGCCATGGATGCTGTGGACGGCATTGGCCAATTCCCATCATGCCATGTACCGCATACTTCCGGCTCTGTTGCTGGTGGAATTCACCACCCCGATACCTGCCTTTGCCCGTTCTAGGATCTAGAGACAGGGTCCCGCGCCCGGTGGTAGGTCCCCTTTGGCCGAGCACTACCGAACGGAACGGCCAGCCCTTCGGTCATTGTTTGGTCTTCGCCTCTGGTATCCGGCCTCGCTGCTGATGCTGCTACCTCTTCTGCTGGCTTGTGACTCGTTCCTCCATTCCCTACTACCCCGGCTCGGCTTGGGCCTATGACTCTTCTCTCTCCTCTCAACCATCTATCTATCCGTCCTCCTCCCTCTCTCGTGCCTGCAACCATTTGTGACCTTCGAAAACTCGGGGACAGCATCCTTCTTTCGTCCTACCTGCCCATTGACTGCTCCCACCAAGCTCCAGCCTCTTCTAATCTTGCCCGCTTCTCTTACACGCAGCCCCCTTTCCCCCTCTCACATCATGGCTGCCAACAACATGGTGAACCCGGCCGTGGACCCAGAGACCGAGGACGAGCTCTTCAACCAGGAGGTCGAGCAGATCAAGCAGTGGTGGAGCGACTCAAGATGGCGCCACACCAAGCGCACCTTCACCCCCGAGCAGATCGCCTCCAAGCGCGGCAACCTCAAGGTTGAGTACCCGGGAAACGTCCAGTCCAAAAAGCTGTGGAACATTCTCGAGAACCGCTTCCAGAACAAGGACGCCAGTTACACGTACGGCTGTCTCGAGCCTACCATGGTGACACAGATGGCCAAGTACCTCGACACCGTCTACGTCTCTGGCTGGCAGTCGTCCTCTACCGCCTCGGCCTCTGACGAGCCCGGCCCTGATCTGGCTGATTATCCCTACGTGAGTTTCCCCCAAACCGCCAGCCGCCGTGTCTACGTCAAAGCCTGCATCAAAGCCTGCATCAAAGCCTGCATCAAAGCTGACATGTTACAGACAACCGTCCCCAATAAGGTCGGCCATCTCTTCATGGCTCAGCTGTTCCACGACCGCAAACAGCGCCAGGAGCGCCTCTCCCACCCCAAGTCGGCGCGCGCCCAGCTCGCCAACGTCGACTACCTCCGTCCCATCATTGCCGATGCCGATACCGGTCACGGTGGCCTCACGGCCGTCATGAAGCTGACCAAGCTCTTCGTCGAGAAGGGCGCCGCTGGCATTCACATTGAGGACCAGGCTCCTGGCACCAAAAAGTGCGGCCACATGGCCGGCAAGGTCCTCGTGCCCATCAGCGAGCACATCAACCGTCTCGTTGCCATCCGCGCCCAGGCGGACATCATGGGTTCCGACCTCGTCGCCGTCGCTCGCACCGACGCCGAGGCCGCCACCCTCATCACCACCACCATTGACCCTCGCGACCACGCTTTCATCCTTGGCAGCACGAACCCCAGCCTCCAGCCCCTCAATGACCTTATGAACGCCGCCCAGGAGGCTGGCAAGACTGGCGCCGAGCTCCAGACCATCGAGGATGAGTGGATCGCCAAGGCCAACCTTCAGCGCTTCGATGACGCCGTCGTCGCCGCCGTCCGCGCCGGTCCCCAACCGGACAAGGAGGCCGCCGTCGCCCGCTACCTCGCCGCTGCCAAGGGCAAGTCGAACACGGAGGCCCGTGCCGTTGCCAAGGGCGTCCTCGGCATCGACATCTTCTTCGACTGGGACGCGCCCCGCACGCGCGAGGGCTACTTCCGCCTCAAGGGCGGCTGCGACTGTGCCATCAACCGCGCCATTGCCTACGCACCCTACTGCGACGCCATCTGGATGGAGAGCAAGCTGCCCGACTACAAACAGGCGCAGGAGTTCGCCAAGGGCGTCCACGCCGTGTGGCCTGAGCAGAAGTGAGTTCCCCCCTTTCATCATCATCATCATCATCATCAAGACACGAGACATTCTTCTTCCCTCGTTCCATAAAGGCGGATGCTAACAAATACAGGCTCGCCTACAACCTCTCCCCGTCCTTCAACTGGAAGACGGCCATGCCCCGCGACGAGCAGGAGACGTACATCCGCCGTCTCGCGTCCCTGGGTTACTGCTGGCAGTTCATCACGCTCGCGGGCCTGCACACGACGGCCCTCATCAGCGACAAGTTTGCCCGCGCCTACAGCCAGCAGGGCATGCGCGCCTACGGCGAGCTCGTCCAGGAGCCCGAGATGGAGGGCGGCGTCGACGTCGTCAAGCACCAAAAGTGGAGCGGCGCCAGCTACGTCGACGAGCTGCTCAAGATGGTCAGCGGCGGCATCAGCAGCACCGCCGCCATGGGCAAGGGCGTGACGGAAGACCAGTTCCACTAAAAGGGCCTGTGCATGCATGTATAGCAGGAAGTGGCTTGATGTAGCGGGACGAGATGATGTTATGTTTTTCCTTTTAAGTTATACCTTTGCAATACTATCCGAGTTAGACTGAGTGTAATCGATTGTACGTGGGCTATCATCTAACTTGAAAGGAGTCGACCATATGTGCAAGTCCATGGTCGCCTTTTGGTCAGGTCTCCTCGACGAGAACTTTCCTCATCTTATTGTTCACCTCACTCAATTTGATTTTGCTTGCATTGACCCCAGCATTAATGAGTAGCTTGACAACCTCTACTCGATTGCATTTCACTGCCATAGTAAGAGGTGTTGCCCCAGAACCGTCACAGTGGTTAATATCAGCCCCAGCATCAAGTAGTGCCTTAGCTCCCTTCACGAAACCTCGTTTGACTGTAATAGCAATCGGTGACCCATGTAGAAGGTTGCGCATGTTGACGTTGGCTCCGTACGTAAGCAGCAATCTGGCGACATCCATTTCATACAGTTCAGAGGTGTATATCGGAAATCGTGACTGCTCGAGTATGCTCGATAGCCGTTGCGCGTTGCGGCCTTCCGGCCGCCGGAACAAACGCAGCGTCCGTTGTGAAGCAGTACCATCCTCCTTGTCCGCTAGGTGCAGGTCGGCGCCGGAGTCGATTCATTCTTGATGGCCGATATTTTCTTCCGGTCGATTTCGGATGCGAGTGTACGCATGGCTGTATCTTGTATTGCTGGTGCACCCCTGGCTTGTTCCGCCATGGTCTTGGCTGTGCCGAGGCTGTCTTCCTCAACAATCACTACGAGTATCGTGCGACGTGACGTTGTACAGATTCATGCATTCTCATGGTGAGGGGTTAAGGCCAGAGATCGATGGCGTGGACCTGCAAGGTCGTGATGAGCTGTCTCTATCTTGTCCTAAGGTACCTATCCCGGAAGGATGATGGAACAAGTGTGAGAAGTTGGATGCATTCAATGGGTGGGTGGTATGCAGGAAAGAGGCCGTGGGATCCCTGTAAGCAGTTGCCAGACTGATGTTTCTATTGCACAGAGCGCCTTAGTCAGCTTCACGGAGCCTCCCGCCCCCAGGGACTGATCTCGATCGCTGAAGCCCCAGTACCTATCTAGGTACCTCGTCTGTGGAGGCTAGAGCACAACACGGAGGGCCGCGCCGCTCTCCAGCAGGATGGGACAAGACAGACCGGCCTAGATCTGTCAGAGATCGCAAGCTGAACAACCACCCTCGTGCATGTCGTGTAGCGCAGTGGCATCCTGCGTTCATCAACGCACCATCTTCTGCTCAACAGAGGCTCTCTACAACTAACCCCCCCCCCCCCATCGCCCGTCAATTGCAGCAGGGAGGGCCCCGACCAATACACCTCCACCACGCCCGGGCAGCAGGTCACCTTGCGAAGAGTGGGTGGTTGGTTAGAGGCTCACTCTCGGGTGCCCCACACGAGTTTCGAGGAGAGCTGTCTGGACAAGAAGACGGTTCGAGGACCAGGTTCGCTGAGACACCGACAGACGTCGGCCACACAACATGGCATCCCCAGGCGGTATTGTTCCCGCGCAGCTGGGCTTCCTCGCCATCTTCAACCCCTCACTCGGCATCACCGACGAGACTGTTGACGACCAGATCGTTTATTACGCATCGGTCACCACACAACGCCACAAACGCCGTCACCGCTCCCGCGGGCAGGGTAGACCAACCGAGAATGTCTCCCAGGAAGAGCGCAATGAACGCCTCCGGCAGATTGGCCTCGCCCAAGGCATGGTGGACTTTGGCAAGAGCTTCTCGGGGGGGCAACCTGTCGACGCCATTGACACTGAAAAGTCACGCGTCGTCCTTCACGAAATCGAGGCTGGTTGGTGGGCTCTTGTTGTAAGCTGGATCACTGCGGCCTGTCTGGAACACTGGTGTCTAACTTCATCACAGTCGATTGATCTGACCAAGATTCCTCTGCCGCCAAAGCTCCCAACCGGCAAAACTGGTGGGCCCGTCGAGGAGGTGGTCGAGTACTCATCAAAAGAGATCAAGCCGGCTACGCTGTTGTTACAGGATCTGCTCCGTGCGCACTCCACTTTCCTCTTGCACCACGGCTTCTCTCTGAGTTCGCTGTTTGTGCGCACTGGGCGACCCAAATTCGTCAGTATTCTGACTCGCTACTGGGACTGGTTCCTGTCAACCTGGAATGTCATGCTACAGGGTAACCCGACTCGCAGCCTTTTGGGAAGCATCAATATTGCTGCCTCGAGCGAGCTCGGCATTGGTGTCGGTGAGGAGGAGCGCGGGAGTGGAGAGCGGGACGTACTTGAAGGCCTGGTCGGCAGGATCGAAGGCCTTCAGGATCTGATTATCTCGAGATTCGGCTCCAACGTGACGGACCTCGAATCTTCCGATGGAACGACCGCTCCATGGCTCGGTACTGGTCGAGAGCCCGGGCCCGATGACGGAGCCATCTTTTTGGGAGTGGGTGGCCTCTCCCGGAAGTCTTTAAGGGACGTGACTTGCTGGATGGAGGATCTCTACACGTGGGGCTCGAATGCTTACGGCGTCCATGACAGCCCGACTTCATTGCGCCGAGCTCGGCGAGGGAAGGTTATCAAGGGGGATAAGGAGACCGCCAAGTCCTCCAAGGTAACCCCCTTTCGCCCTTCGATTGGCTCTGCAGATTCAAAAGGCTCCGTATCAAGCCAGACGCTGGCTGACCGACGAGGCCAGACCATTGGCACAGTTGCGGAGGCTAGGACGCCTGACGTTCCAACACCATCCGATGAGAGCCCCACGGACGGATCAAAAGATGCCGACGGGCATCTAGACAAATTCATGACCTACATGAAGCTCGGCTATGGAACTTACTGGTCTATTGGCAAGTCTGACCAGCAGTTTGCCCAAGACGCTGACAACCTCGGCGGCGAGTCCGCCGTCAGCGCTCAGGCCCCGGCGCCGGAGAAGGTAGCCGACACCACTGGCCACTACCTCATCGGGCTTCTGGGAGATGTCGAGGAGAGCAGTGCCAGTGAAGGCGACGATTCGGGTGAGCGTGGCGATGCGGATAGAGAGAACAGCAACGCTCGAACAATGCTCCGGACCGTTCATGTGGAACTTGAGAAGGCAGAACGAGATCTCTCCGAAAGCCAGGTTGTAAAGAATATCGGAAGTCTCGTCAACGAAATAACCCCGCTCCCTGGTGTTCCTGCGTCCTCCGCATCAACCTTTACAACACACAGCCAGAACAAGACGAAGAAGATGCGAATCGTGGTCTATGTCAACAAACCATTCATCTACACATTCTTGTTTGAGCTTCGAACAGACTCCCTCTCATGGAAGTCATTTTACCAGAATCTGCACCGGCAGCTGGTCCCTTTGCAAAAGCCGCTTCTGGCTTCAACAAAATATCGCCCCGAACGGCCGTCCGTCGGCGCTGCTGGCACGAGCATTTACGATGTCATTTGGGACCCGACAGCATTGACCGTCCACTCAACACTACCAAACATACCGGACCCGAGCCAGCTACCTTCAGAGGCCACAGATGCATGGTCACGTGTTGAGGCGATCAATACGCACATGCAACTACTGAACATGTACGCCCTCACACGTCGTAACGTTACCGAGCTCGAGCGGACGTGTAAGACAAACCGCGGATGGTGGGTGGTCTGGCGGCGGATATTGGATCGGACTGGCTCAGCCCAATCTCAGGAGGAAGCTCAAACTTCTGAAGAGGCCATCATCGACGAGGCCAGCCCCAGTACAGAAGACCCTGCAGCGAGCGAGTCCAGCGCCGATCGACTCATCAAGAAGTCCGCTGCACCGGAGCCAAGGGTAGATAAAGAGATCTTCTTGATCCGGCGAGCAAGTGACCACGCCAGCTCTAGAGGATTCAGCGGCACATTTGCTGAGACTGGTAGCAGTTGGGGCGAGGGTGCTGGCCGTCTGGCGTCGGGGATCGGTGTGGACACACGGAAGTATATAGAGGGCTTGTTGAGTCTGAACCGGTGATGTAGCTGGAACTACTCACGGAGCACACTAGGAGCTTCTGAGGGGCATCCGTCCTTGGCTACTGCAGCGTTATCTTATCGGGGAAACGATTAATTGTCCATAGAGCCGCCTCGTACCATTTTCTCCCTAGAGTAGTCTAAGAGTAGGCGCTCGCTTCAATGCAGGGCCAGGACTATAGTCTGGTTGTGAAGATAGCGAGTATCGTGTAATGGAGCAAAGACGTCATATATCAGAGGTCCGTAATGCTCGGTACCTTTATACCAGCATGACTCGTTCAGCCTTATGGGGCATTGGACAATTTGGCGCAGCCAGCAGCCGAACACAGCATTGAGTTGATTTGCGTCATCAGTGTTGGAGCTACTGAACAGCCGTCGCGCTACTCGGGCCCTCTACCGCACGCGGTATTGGACGGTCACAGCGACATTTTTTCCCATGCTGTCATACTGGAGGCACCGCACGTTACGTGTGATAGCAGACAGCTCTTGAAGGGGACCGATCCATCCGAGACAAGAGCCCAGGCCATGGCCACGGCTGTCTGTCCCTCCGTCCAAACAGCTAGGGCAGGCAGGTAGCAGAGTAAGGTGGAGCGACTAGAGCATCCAAGCCACCGGAGCTTCAAGACCATGCCAAGCGTGGCCAGATGACACTGGCGAGGAATGCATCCGGATTCTAGCACAGCGACCCCCAAGTTCTTTTTCTCTCCAAGCTCGGTTGTTGAACAGCGCGCTTCCCCAGACGTTTCCTAGACGGCATGGGTATCGAAGAACGATGCAGGTCGTGCGAGGTCGGCAGGCTATAGGGCAAACCCGCAGGGTCCTGCAGGGGGCGGCAGTGATGTGTTTCGCGGAGGGATCGCTGGTAAGGATTGATTGGGGCATGCTGTTCCCGAGCTGCCGGAGGGCGTGCTATTGCTATGGCGATGGGGCCCTACCAACTCAAGGTAGTGTGCTTTGGGTGCCTTGATTGAAGCAGAACCCCTCTCAAAGAGACTGACTGGCAGCAGCCATCATCAGCCAGTGGTGGCCGCTTTCATTGTGGTTGGCGAGGGAGCTGAAAAGAGGGTCCCCCCTGGCGAGTCGGGGTTTTTTTCCCTGAACGATGATGACATGGGTACGTACGCTGGCGGGCTCGATGGTGGGTGGGTGCCGCTACAAGTGCCAATGCACATGAGGTCATGGCTTCCGCAACTGCCGATTCACAGGCTCGTCACTGTGCTGGATGGAGGAAGAAGTGGTGTGGTGGTAGCGATGGTAGTGGCCTAGGCTGCTGGCCTGGTCTGACGGGTCATCGGTCATCGCTGACCTTGTCCCTTGCCTTTCCGGCGCCTGACGACTTTTCAGACATGGCAGACGTAACCTGCCGGCGCAGACGTGGGCGCAGACCGTAGCCGGTCGCTCCGTATTAAAGAACTGTTGCTCTCCCAACGCACCTCTCATGACCGTCAGACTCTGTGCCTTTCCCAAATATTCAACCTTATATTATCCAGCTTGTTCCTCTGCCATTGCGAAAATCAACAACTTTGCCTGCTCCATCCTCTTTCCCACATTTCGCATCCACAACATTCTAAACAACCGCCATCATGTTGGAAGGCCTCGCAAAGAGCGGCATTCGTGCCCTGCAGCTTCTCTGGATTCTCCTCCTCACAGCCCTCATCGGCAATGTCATTGACCTCAACCAAAATGGCCACATGGCTGCAATCAACTTCTCCATGTTCGTCATTGTCCTGTCGTGGATCGCCGCTCTCTACGGCCTCCTGACGGCCTTCATCGACTCCATCGCCATCCCCGTCGCTGTGCTCGCCCTCGACGGCCTGGCCACCCTCTTCACTCTTATTGCCGCTATCGTCCTCTCAGCCCGCCTCCGCGCCGTCAACTGCAGCAACTGGCGCGGTCGCGGCAGCAGCTGGATCGCCTACGGTGCCGCCGACGTCGTCAAGCGATGCCGCACCATCCAGGCGAGCATCGTCTTCATGTGGTTCCTGTTTGCCTGCTTCGCTGTCGGCATGTTTTTCTCTGTCCGGGAGTTCCGTCGCGGCGGCGGCTCCGTGCGCCGAGGCGGCAGGCCCAACATGGCGCAGGTTGGTGTGTAAGCGCCTCCAGCTCGGCCGACTTGAGACTGTGATCATCACTGTCGACATGAGCTACCACCACGGCAACAAGAACAATAACAACGGGCACACGTGCGCCCAACATTATGCACTGGCTGCGTGATTTGACGCTGTGCTCTTTTGCAGCTACTGGGAATTGCGTTCTGGTCCTTCGCGACAGGAACGCCCAGTAAGGGGCTGGCGTTCAGGATATGTATACAAAACGGCTGTACCAGGGTTATGAATCATGGCATGAAACGCAGTAGGGCGGAATTACTCTGTGACATCGAACCCGTCTTCGCAACGGCTTTGCGGACGACATCTTAATAGCTCCTCCTAATTGATGTCGTTGCTTCATTTGGAAAAGCTTCTGAGAGTGATATTGCTGCATCAAAAGTGACGACTGCCAGCTAATTGTCAATACGTAGCGAGAGATTATGCCATGCACGGCTCGTCATGTGCTTGATTCATATGCTGATTGTATCGACCTTATTTTATCATGTGGAAAGCTACGCGACGCCCTGGCTGTCGTTCTATGCGTTTCCCCTCCCAAAACTCCCAACGCCAATATTTGTACGTCTTTTGCACACACGCGACCCGTTGCCATAGACTGCACCCCGATTGACGATCGACCATGCATCAAGCGTTGAGTCGTCATCAAAATGATAACTGCCGCCCTGTTCACAGCGTTGCCGCCGCCTCTGCCACTCCCACGGCCTTGAACTTGGCTTTGTTCGTCCACCTAATCTCGACGTTGTGCATCCATTCCATGTAGCGACCCCAACCTGTAGGATGCTGGTTAGTCTCAAGTCTTCCCAGATCATTAGAGAGATGGAAGGGAGGGCGCCCGCCGTACTCCAGAAGGCAAACTTCCTGCCAAAGTATTTGCCGACAAAAGGAACAATGATCATGGTCAGCATCAGCTGCATCTGCTCCAAGCTTCGCTCCCACTCGGCCTGCGCCTCGGAGTCAGCCTCGGAGTCAATCACGCTGCTGGAGATGGATGGCAGGGAATCGAGCTCGTCATTGTCGGTCGAGGCGGAGTTGTCGTCGTGGATGATGAAAGAGTCGGCGGACGCCATGGCGCTTTGTGGCGGTAGGAACACGGCTTGTTCAGCGGCTGATCGTTGAGCTCTGTCAAGCGCTGTCGCGGGGGTGAAGAAAGACAATGCTAGAAGAGAATCGCTGCTGTTTCGCTGGCACAAGAACCCGAGGCTAGGAAGTTGGAGCGCACAGCAGAAGTGGCATGGCCTTGGGGGGAGCTTGGCAGACGAAGGGGAGCTCCATTCGCATCCCACTCGCGAGACTGGCCTGCACTGACCCGACAAGAGGCCGATCCGGCCCGGATGAGGAGCCGGGGAACGTGCCCTGGCGACCCCACTCAGTCCCAACTCTGATCAGCTGCTATTGGCTGTCAAGCTCAGCGATTCGCACTCTGTATCACGTGAGATCTCTGACTCACAGGGCAGTTTTGCGTCTGACGACGGCGAGAACCACTCTAACGGACGCTGCCACTTGGTCACGGCCAATCCGTGGCGCGCCCCTTACCCCTCTGAGCAGGAGTCAATACTGGTGCAAGGACCGAGCGATCACTGCCCGCCCGCATCAAGTGCCCATAGTTTTGCCAAACGTCACTTCTAGAAATCCATCTCGGTTGTCCAGCTAAAAAGAAATCCCAACTGGCGCATCTCCTCCTCACCATCGGCCTCTTCGACCACAATCGATCGACACTTTCCAACCACACAATCACGCCCGCATTTCAAGGACTGGATTCCGCCCCAGGACAGCCCCAATAGGTCCATATACCCTGCACGACACGACAGGCGAGAGGGTACATCCGTTTTCGCCGAACTCAACCACAATCATGGAGGTAAGTTTAGCCCTCTCCAGCTGGTGCAGCCTCGACCACCAATTTCGCCCCTCTTCGTCCTCCCTCCCCCCACCATTTCCTTACCCACGACCAACCCGAGCGACAAGAACCCTGACCTGTATATTATTATTTTCCTTCGACGTCGAAGTTTTTATTTTCATCGTCATCCGCCGGTGCTCCAGACACCACCGTACTGACTGCTCCTCCCCCTTTTCTGTAGGAAACCGCACTCCCCGACCGCAAGCAGCGAAAATCGGTCGCCTTCTCCAGCGAGGAAGTTGTTGTTGACGCCGACGGCTCCGTCACCATGGTCAACTCTCCCGATGAAACCAAGGACTCGGCTCAGTCGCACACGCCTCGTACGCCGCCGCTTGCTGCCGCCCTTGAAGCCTTTACTGATCCCCTGTCTGAAGCCGCCGCTGTCGATGATGCCGCCCCCGCAGGCGACGATGCCCCCGCCGCCGATGGTGGCCTGGACCTCACCATGAAGAAGAAGAAGAAGAAGAAGGTCGTCAAGGAGGACGACGAGGCCGGCGACGCCGCCACTGAGGATGGTGGACTCGACCTGTCCATGAAGAAGAAGAAGAAGAAGAAGGTGCCCAAGGAGGGCGAGGAGGACGACTTTGCCGCCAAGCTCAAGGCTCTCGAGCTCAAGGATGAAGCCGAGACCGAAGCCGCACCCGAGGAGGCTGCCGACGAGGGCGACATGGAGGCCGGCACTGGCATCTGGCAGCACGACGAGAACAAGCCCCTGAGCTACACCCTGCTCCTCGACAGGTTCTTCCACCAGCTGTCGCAGAAGAACCCCGACCACGCTCTGAGTGGCACTAAGAGCTACAAGATCCCGCCCCCCCAGTGCGTGCGTGAAGGCAACAAGAAAACCATCTTCGCCAACATTGCCGAGATTGCGAAGCGCATGAAGAGGACGGACGAGCACGTGACCCAGTACCTCTTCTCCGAACTGGGTACCAGCGGATCCGTCGACGGTAGCCGGCGCCTTGTCATCAAGGGTCGCTTCCAGCAGAAGCAGATCGAGAACGTTCTGCGAAAGTACATCAGTCAGTCGGCCCCCCGGTCTCCCATTCTGCGTGACCATGGCAGTGCTAACCACTTCACAGTCGAGTACGTCACCTGCAAGACATGCAAGTCCCCTAACACAGAGCTCAACAAGGGTGAGAACCGTCTCTACTTCGTCAACTGCAACAACTGCGGGTCCCGGAGAACTGTCACGGCCATCAAGACGGGTTTCTCAGCCCAGATCGGCAAGAGAAAGAAGATGCAGGGTTAAGGGCCCGGCTTTGGACGTTGTTTCAAGTTTGCTTGCGGTCCTCGCGGTGTTGGCGTGCAGTTTTTCATGTACATGCTACCGTTTTTCCGTAGATTGGGACGCAACATGACTGAAGAACTGGGGTGTTCTCGCTTCGCGGCGATCACAAAAATACAGACATGACCTTATGCTTGACGATCTGTGCCAGTGATGGACCTAATCACGTTCCCCCGTCTGCTGCTGCGAGACATGTAAGGTTGTGCGTATCAGCCAATTGACTACCATCGCCAGCCAGCAATTCACGTCGAGGTGTGAAGTCGTGCAACGTCGATTTTGGTGCGCGGCTACTCGATTGGCCGGTCGATCGCCGAATGAGGGGCACCAAGCAGCTCCAGTCAGGCGTCTCTGCTGATAGCTTGATGCACTCACCTCCCAGATCACCTGCCCGAATGCGATATCATTCGACTCATACCTTCTGCCTCCTTGGAACAGAAACCCAGCATCCTTAATATTCCAGAACACAGTGACTCACCTTTCAGACGCACACGACTCTCGACGCCAGCGTGCAGACTTCACCCACACAGCAGAGCTGCATCTCTGACTTGCCACTTCACGAAAGAGACAAGCGACAGGCAGCAAGCCATCATGACTGGCGCCACTCTGCGAGACGGCCAGGCAGACCTGCCGTCAGGGAGGAGCACGGCATCATACTGGCATCGCGAACCCTCAGAGAAGCTCCTGGGCCACCGGACGACGGCTGAGCTCCCCGCCACAGCTGATGTCGTCATTATCGGCAGCGGCATCACAGGAGCATTCGCCGCGCATTTTCTTAAAGAGGCCAGCGCGGCATCAGACGTGTTGATGCTCGAGGCGAGGGAAGCATGCTGGGGCGCCACAGGCAGAGTGAGTCATCCCTCCTTCAGCGGCACACGCACGGCAAACGACTGCTTCTGTGCGTGTGTGCATGTGCAAAGCGGTGGTAGAGGGACTTGCAAGTTAACGCGCCCGACAGAACGGCGGGCACTGCCAGCCAAGCGTCTACGGCCTCAGCCCGGCCGTGGCGCGCTTCGAGCTCAACACATACGCCTTCCTGCGCGACTTCGTGGCCGAGCACGACGTCCCCTGCGACTGGGTCTCCTTTCCCGGTGTCCACGCCTTCTACACGCCCGACCTCTTCGCCGCCGCCGCTCTGCGCATCGCCGACCTCGGCAGGGCGCACCCGGACCTGGTCGCCAAGGCGCGCGTCGTTGCGCTCTCGCCGCTGAGCTGGCGGCACTTGGGGTCCACGAGTGCCGTCGGGCGCCGCCGTGCAGGCGGACGCCGCGAGCCTGTGGCCGTACAAGCTCGTGTGCTGGGTCCTCGAGAAGCTGCTGGCCCAGGGCGCGGGGTTCAACCTCCAGACGGGCACGGCGGCGACGCACCTACAGAGGCTCGAGGGGCCCGACGACAACGACGGCGGCAGCAGCAAGACCGCGCACCGGTGGATCGTACATACGCCCAGGGGGCAGGTCGCCACAAGGAAGGTGCTGCTGGCGTGCAACGGGCATACATCGCGGCTGGTGCCGGCGTTCTCGGACCTGTTGGTGCCGGTGCGCGGGCAGGTCGCGGCCCTTGTGCCGGGGCCGGGGCAGAGGGCGCTCGAGCACAGCTATGTGTTCATGGGGGTGCCACCGAAGGGGCCGAGCCAGGACGACTATCTCGTGCAGAGGCCCAGCGGGCGAGAGGAGCTGATCCTCGGCGGTGGGCGGTCTAGGGGTACGGCGCGCGGCGTGGGTGCCAGCGCGGATGACTGGCTCGATCCCGTCGTCGCCAGCTACCTACGGCAGACGCTCGGGGCAACGACGGGCATCGCGGAGGGGGAGCTTGCAGCGACCTACGAGTGGACGGGTATCATGGGGTACTCGAGAGATTTCCTGCCGTGGGTTGGGGAGGTGCCGAAGGGGCTGGGCGGTGACACGGGGCTCTGGGTGGCGGCAGGTTATACGGGGCATGGGATGCCGCGGGCGGCGCTGTGTGCAAAGGCTGTGGTGGGCATGATGAGTGGACAGGAGCTGGAGGTAGCCGAAGCGGTCGGGCTGCCTCACGAATTCCTGGTAAGCGAAGAGAGAGCGGCGCGGGCGAGGGAGATGGACAATGTGACAGTAGCGGATCTGAAGGACATGTTTGTCTGATCCGGCCTGTCGACACTCGGTCACTGTCAGGGGGGCCAAGGTGTGGTCTAGCTCTTGGGAGGCCAGGCTGCTATCGTCGACCTTTCACAGAGGCAGAAAAAGTAGACTTCCCAACTACCACCTAGCTGCGCTGGTAGTGGTTATACTTTTGAAGACGACTATCTTTTTGGTCACGTTGATGCGAGATCCGCAGCCTCCATGGTCACACACACCCGCTACCTAACAAAAACTGTCTACGATGCAGTCGGTCCGCTTCCATAAAGATCCAATGAATCAAAGGGATCTAGCGCGGCGTGTTCTTTGACAGATAGTTGGAGTCCTATAGATGAGCTGAGTAGTGTATGTATGTCGACTGGTCGAGACTGTTTGGACGACCAATGCATGGTGATGGAGAAATGCCGATGAACCGTGTCTCTGTCAGCGTGGACAACTGGCACATTCTCATACGTCAACGCCCCAAAAGACACTTGATGCGACGTCCCAGGCACTGGAGGAGGGGGCGGGGGGCGGCCACTGATGCGTCAAAGTCACTAACAGTCCGCCGTCCATCTGTGTCGGTGAAACAAGACCTGACTCTCGACTCTTGGACTCTTGGTAAGAAAGCCGAGCGGGCGGCTAGGGCGCGCACAATCAAAGACAAACAGGCAACCTGACGAGATGTTTGCGACAACGGGGCCAAGCCATGGTCCAGTCAAGTCAGCGGTGATTGTCACGCAGGCTTCACAGCATTTCCTGTTGGGGGGGGGTTCCCAGTCCTTGGTCTGATCGGGCTACGTTGGCTGCACGACGACCCGTGACTGACAAGAAGGGGCATTCAAGCAGCTCGAAACCCAGACGATAGAGCACCTGCCGAAGTGGAAGCGGCAGATGGCCCGACTAACAGAACCCATGTGGGCTTCTTGGTTGGTCCCTGCTGTTCGGCTGTACTGCGTGGCGGTGGGCGGTACCTACCTGCCCTGCCTACACTGTACCTAGGTGCCTAGTGTCGGCGTCCACAGGCCCAAGTTTGGTCCCTGGAGGAAGGGCGCCTAGGCGTGCTGGGCTGCCACCCACCGCCAGCGTTAGGTACCGGTCTAGAGACGCGCCTCCGGTAGCGGGGAACCCTGTCTCTGTACCTCTTCAGGGTTCTCCTTGTGCCAGCCTCAAAGCGGGGGAAGCGGGAACTGCCAGGTATCGATACCAGCGATCAGGTCGAAAGTCGCCGCCAAGGCCCCGCGACTGAGGCATGGTACCTACCAGATTCGCTAAAACGGACTGTGTCCCTGCATGGCACCTTCCGCCATGCTTCCAGTACACGCAAGTACAAGGTATGACTGGCCCCTTCCCACTCTTTCCCCCAATCCCCCTCCCCCCCCCCCTTCTGCTGCATCCTGTCCCCTCCCTTCGCCTTACATCTGATCCCATCCCAGCCCGTCCTTTCTCATACCAGAAAAAAAAACCTACTAGTATAGCGCCAGTCCTTTCCATTCCTCCTTCCCGCTTCCCTTCAGCCTTGTGGCCAACGTCCACGGCATCTTTCTTTTCTTCTCTCGCATTGATCGCACGCTGCGGAAACGGACACTGTTCAACAGCTTCAACAGCGACCGGGGCCACTGTCCAAGTCAACCGCTACCCTGGCGATGCCTCCACCAGTGCCCACTACCGCTTCCGAACGTTCCGCCGCCGCCATCACCGCCGCCGCACCGACCCCCGCCCGCCGAGGACACACAGCCCATTGAGCGCACGTCGCGTCGCACCGCACTCTGTCTTTGCCCTTGCCTTTCTTCCCATCTTCCCTACGCATAGCTCTCGCCAATCTTGTCGTTTCTCGCTGCCGTCGACCGGCACCGAGACCCAGCCTCTCCTTCGACCATGTACCACGTACACCGTCTCTCCATTTTCGTCGCCTGCTTCCTCTGCCTGTCCTTCATCGCCGGCACCCTTCCTCGCTACTTGAACCCGGCGCAAACCGACAAGGAGAAAGCCGCTGAGGACAAGCTGTGGGTCAGCAGCAGTCGCTACTGGCTCGACCGCCAGGCCTGTCGCTGGCTCAGTCTATGCGGCATCCACCACCTGACCTGGGACCCCGCCGCCCTGCTGCCTTGGAACAACAACAGCACCGACGACGGCGAGCTTTTCGCCGAGCGCCTGGAGCTGCGCTCTCTCGGAGACGACAATGAGAGGCACGCCGGTTGGGAGGTTGCGGGCCGCACAGCAAGAGGACAGCGAGCCGACCGTGGCAACGTTCTCCAGCAGACACCCGACTACGTCCTCAAGTATGCGCCGCTCGTTCACCTCTACTCTAAGGAGAACTTCTGGCCCTCAGATATCGCCGAGCACGTTCAGCACATGATTCCCTATCTCGAAACCGAAGCACTCAACAGGACTGCCCTGTTGGATGACCTGCACGAACTCAACGGCATGGATGGACAGGTCTTCTTGACCGCCGACGTCGACGTTGAATCGAGACCCGAGTGGCTCCACAGCCACTCTTCTATTCCTCACACCTGGAGAGAGGACAACGAGGAGCCCCATTACGACTATGTCGACGACGGTGCCCCCTCGAACCAGCCCGGTGGCCAGCATCACCCCAACCAGGACACGACTTGGTACGACGTCTCGCGCGGCCATCCCGTCAACCGCATCTCCGACCCTCGCCGCCTTGGACAGCAGTTCTCGCCCAAGGGCCGCAAGCCCGTCCTGGATCGCAAGACTGGCTTCGTCCGCCGCGATCAGCAACCCATGCCCGCTGACCCCACGCCCATCAACAAGCCTCACGCTGACGGCTACTCCAAAGCGCCAGCCGTCTTGATCCTCGTCGACAAGGGTGACGGTATCGTCGACGCTTTCTGGTTCTTCTTCTACTCGTACAACCTCGGACAGACCGTCGCCAACATTCGCTTCGGCAATCACGTTGGCGACTGGGAGCACTGCATGATGCGCTTCGAGCACGGCATCCCGCGTGGCATCTTCTTCTCCGAGCACGAGGGCGGCCAGGCGTACACCTACAACGCCGTCGAGAAGCGGGGCGACAGACCTGTCCTGTACTCCGCTGTAGGCAGCCACGCCATGTATGCTCAGCCCGGCTTCCACCCCTACATCCTCCCCTTCAAGCTGCTTAAGGATGTCACCGACCGCGGCCCGCTATGGGATCCCGCCAAGAATACGTACTCGTATTGGTACGACTATGAGCGCGATGTCGATGACGGTCTCGATGTCGATGCCGACGTGGACGGCGAGGTTGAATATCTGCTCTCCCGTAAGGATGCCGACGCTTCTTCGTTGACGCCCACCGCCGAGAACCCAGAAGCCCCGACCAGCTGGTTCCACTACGCAGGCCCATGGGGAGACCAGGTCTACTCCCTCGCCGACTTGCGCCAATGGCGCCTCTTCAGCCAGTATCACTATGTGACCGGGCCACTAGGTCCCAAATTCAAGCGTCTTGGCCGCGAGAAGCTCTGCATCACAAACCGCTGCCGCATCCTCGACAGACTCAAGCCGGGCCAGACCTGGTACTAGCTTCGGTTTCGCTCTGTCAAATTGACGGCTTTGATTTCTGTCTTGTGTTTCTTGTTTTCATTGCTATCTTCTCTTTTGCGAGACCATAGACTTGCACCACCACTCGAACACGCTCTCTCACGAATTGCACGAATCACGCTCTTTCAACGACCATTGCATCGCATGCAAACATAACCATGTTACACTCATTTACGAAACATGCCGGATGTCAATCCGGCCCGGCGCACTAGACATGAGAAACGCATACATCGGGTACGCTCCTTCGCGGTAGAGAAGACGTCACAAAATCGACGCGGCATGGCACGGCGCGGTCACTACCCGCCTGTGCCTCAAGGGAGTTAGTTTTCAAATTGGCTGGGGTTTTTGGGAGGGGGGGATCCAACTCGGACCAGGCAGACGCACGTATCTCTCTCTCTCTCTCTCTCTCTCACACACACACACAAGGGTCTCATGCCGCTACTTGGAGTTTTGATATACGTTTTTGGTTATTTCGGTTCTGATTCGGGAGTTGTCTCTCCTCCAAGGCTTGTACATACACCACAGACGCATGGCTCGTTGCTCAGCTCGGGCTCTGATACCCCCTCCTTTCTTATCTGATACCGACCGTCATAGACCGAATATCCAACATCTGTTCTTTTCTGTTCAGCATGAGAGAGAACTTGGCCGTATGTCACGTTCATATTCGTGTTTCACTCAGCGATTCCAGAATCTTACGCTGTCGTGTTGAGAGTGTCTTGGTATCTATACAAGAAGCCGAGATCGCGACTCGCCAGCCGCTGCATGGCACCATGTAAATTCTAAATCCGCCTCGTCCATCTCTTTTCCACACACCGCACTCTGCGTCCGGTCTACCAATCCACTAGGCTCCCAGACTCCCGCTCGAGGCTGATCCAAAACCACAACGCCATGCGAGATACGAATGTTACATCAGATCCAAAAAAAAAAAGAAAAAAAAAAGATTCCAACATACAAGCATCGTCCCGTGCTACATGGAAACCCAAACTCGAGCACGATGTGCCTTCCTCAACCACCACGCCCACCATCGTATGGTATCCGTAAATATCCACGTCTTCACATCATCCTGTCATCGTCTTCATGGATTCGGAAACCCATGTCATCGTCATCATCAGCGCCCTGCGCTCCCCATCCACGTTGGGTGCTAGGGTACTCAGAAGGCTGGCTGCTTGCTACCGAGGTCGCGTCGTCGGCTGTTTGCGAAAACAGCGGATCGATGTTCTCTCCATCCGAGATACGATCCTGGTCTTCAATACCAGGCCACGGCTCGTCCTCTGGTTGAAGCTGCCGAAGGTGTTGCGCATCAATATCCTCGGCAATGGTGAATCGAACGCCAGTAGCAGCTCGATAGATGCTCTCATCATCGTTCAGGTTGGTACTGCCAGAATCGGCTTCGCCATGCTCATCTGAGTCTTCGTCAGGCATACCGCCGCTGCCACGCATTCGTGACTCTGTCAGAGGCGCGTTACTGAAAGGAGTGGCATAATATAGAGGTGTGACGCCTCGAGCTGGCTGTACCCGTTCGTGTTCTGTTGGAAACATCGCCAGTGCCGGGCTGGGTGAAGACGTCCAGCGAGGAGTATGGTGCGGACGAGTCGGGGACCTCGTTCGCTGTCGTTTGTATGCTACAGCAACAGCTTCAAGGCGAACTTGCATCTGAGGCGTCATGCTTCCCTTTCTTTGTTGCCCTGAGGATGCTACCCGGCGCTTGATGCCGGACGGCGAAATGAGCGCCGACCCTGCAGGTGGCATCGATGTTGTGCGAGCGTGAATTGGTCGGGTCACGGGGACTTCGCGCCTTGGAGTATGCCCGCGAGTCACGTACGGGCTGGGTGACCGCAGCGATGAATCGATGTGGATATAGCGCTGTGAGGGCGATGTCGAAGCACGCTGCGCCGTCGCTAATTCTCGCATGCCCAGCGATGATTGGGCACTGACAGGTTCATCCAGTTGCTCGGTAAAGGCCCAACATTCTTCATGTGCATCGGCCTCTGGTACATCCTGCGAGGCACTCTTTTCAGGATAGACACGAGGCTGTTCGCGGAGCCTCTGCCAAGTCCACCCCTGGTCGTGCATGTGCAGATCCTGGAGGTATGCCTCTGACTGTGTTATGAACAGCCTGCGCTCAGAAGCCCGCATGATGATCGAGTTGAGAAAGGGAACATCCCACAAGGCTGGTGTGACCATCTCAGCCGGTGAGAGAAAACGGAGGCGGGAGTCTTTGTGGATCTTCCGAAGGGGCACCCAGTGTTGTTGGAGACCCATGAACTTGTCCGTCTTGGTGTTGCTGCCACGCCGACGAGATGTGGACGCAGAAGTCGACATACGGTGCAGGACGGAGCCAAACGCAGCCTGGATGGCTGCTTCGACGCTCCGAGCATCAGGACCCTTGACGGATATAGTTTTTACCAGACCTCTGCTCCTCAGGCGCCTATCAATGAGACTCTTGGCGCCACAGGCTTTGGCCAGTAGCCAGTCGTAGTCCCGTCTTGATGCCGCCCAATCTCCATGATATGGCGATTGGGTACCTGGCCTGGCAGTACTGTTGGTGTTGGGGAGCTGGGTCCATTCGTCCATGCTAGATGTTGGTTCCACCTTGAAGTCATGCCTTTCTTGCCAGATGCGCCGGAGAGCGAATGGAAGAAACACCACCTCCACTTCCCAGGCATGCATACAAGATGGCACAAAAGACTGGAGGTGCCGAAGTTGAGACTGAAGGGACTGTATGTGGCTGTAAATCTCGCTCGCGTCGGACATACGAGCAGTCGCGCTGGTAGAAACAGAGACGGCGCTGCTCATTGACTCATCAACGGCAGGTTGGCGGAGATGGCGGGCAGTTCCGTGGCTGGTGTTATCATTCATGAGTTTTTCAACCTCTTCTACCCGGCCTTCTAGGTCCGTAACGCGAAGATCCATGGCATCATGCTTTTCGTGGCATTCATCATTACCTCCCGCGGAGAAGGAAACATTCTCCAAACGATCGAGCCGTTGCTCGTGTCCCTGAACTGTGTCTGACATGTGCCGAAACGTATCACGTGAAGGTGACCCAAATATTGCTGAGGGAGCCTGGACTGTAAGAACAGGAGATCGTCGAGCTTTTGGAGTATCTGAGCCGTTTCCAAAAGCAGATACGGTAGCCGCGGTAACAACTTCCATTCCAGATCGTGTAACCTGAATGTCCATGAGCTCCGGGTTCTGCGGCTTTTCCTGGCGAAGAGAACTAGGGTCGGGCTGGTGCACACCACTGAGTGTGTTTAATCCTTTCCCGGCAAAGGGGCGCAAGTAACGAGCTTGGCTAGACGATGTGGTAGAACTGGGTTGAGAGGGCATAAGGCATTGAGGGGGAATCGGGGGCAATGTAGTCGTGTTGGCTGACTGAGACTGGACAAACTCGCCCCAACTTAACGTATCCTGCAACGTAGATTCGAGCTGCTGGCTGGGGGGTCCAGCGCGCGGGTTCCTGGCATCCTCGGGCTTGCTCACGGGCAGCAGCATCGCGGCGTCCAGATTCATAAGATCCAATGAGGTAGAGAATCCAGAAGGCAGGCGGAATGAAGCATCCTGAACGACGGGGCTTAGGGGCTCACGATGTTCCTTGGGCTTCGTGTTCTCCTGTCCGGGAACAAATCCTAGTACGGGAGTGGTGGCTTCTGCGTCGCGGGTGTGGTCGTGATAACAAGCGTGGTGAGTGCACATGCACCAGGCCGTGTGGTCCGATCCTACGGTATCTGCGAATCCTCTCCCAGAAACAGTGCGACTCCAGAAACGGCGACATCCACACTTGGCTCCGTTGGCACCGGGCGTCAGGTCGACAAAGTTGCAGCCCCCATCGGGTAACGAGACAGGACTGCGGGCGGTCGTTCCATCATGGTGAATATCGAAGAAGGAGGCACCGGGAAGGGGAAGGTCGAGCTGTGACGCAGCCATCAGGGATGGCTGCGATCATGTCCTGGAAGAACGGTCTATCCAGTCGTGTTGGATGGGTATGCAATGGAAACGGAGGGGCCGGGACGAATCGTGACGAGCAATATCAAGTCCAAGGTCGGCTTGTCGGTATCTTGCCGTGCTGTTTATATGATGTCGCCAGTAGAGGAGCCAAACGCTCAAGCCAGCCGCGCCGGTACGCTCAAGCCTGAGGTCCACCTAGTACATCGCAGCTGTCATCGTTAGCTGAGCCTCCGAGTCGAAGTCAAGGTCTGGTTCGCCATCCATGAGGGGAACGAGGTCCTTTGGCAAGAGTACCCACAACTGTTGGCGCAAAGGAAGGGCCTCCAAAGGAATAGAGAGGGTTGGTGGTCAGACTATAAGGCGTGGCAGATGTGCGCGTGATCGAGCCGGGACGCAGGCGGCTGGTCTTTGGTTTCGGAGGCAATGGGAAAAGATTTGCTCTCAGGCGGTATGAGGGTTGGATGTTTGGTTGGGATTGAAGGATGGAGGTTGGAAGTGAGGCGGCCTCTGCTGGCAGGCGGCCGGGATGATGGTGGGATGCAATGGCGGGGCGCTGTACACTGGCTGGCGCGACAAAAGACAGGTGGACAGGGCCAGGACGGACGACGCGGGGGGTGCAAACGGGGCTGCACGGCCTGATGGAGAGCATGGGTGACGATTATTGCCTCAGCAGAGCCGGCGTTGTTTCTTCTTCTTCTTCTTCTTCTTCTTCTTCTTCTTCTCTCTTTCTCGTTCTCAGGCATCTCCCAAGCACGTCAAGCACCGCACGCCAGGCAACGAGCGCGACCTGGTTGTTTGTGAAGTGCCAGGCTTCGGCCGTCTCGACTATCGTCCTGGGGAAAGGACGACTGAAGGGGAGAACACGATTGGGCGCCTCCAACCCCACCTCCACCAACGACGCGTCTGAATTAAGTGGTCCGCGGGTCGTGCCAGGCCGGCAGGCGTCGCCCGCCCTCAAGTGAGTGCGGCCCATTGGCCAAGATGGGACGCGCACCCCTGCTCCCACCGCGGGACGTCAGGGGCCCTTGCTTGTACTGATCAGAGTTATCACTCCACCCTTACGGTGCTGTTTCCCAGGGCCCGCAGGAGTTACTGCTCAGAAAGAGACTTTGTGACCTGTTAACTTCAAACATGCATTCCATTGCCTCCACTCCGCAGGGTCCAGTCCTACATGTACCCTCCATCTCAGTCAACCATGTCTTGGATGGCGAGTCCTTCGCAGTTCGACACAAGGGGGAGCATTGCTTCGAGTCGATCAACCCTCAGTGAGGCTGTTGTTGGTCGCCTCACATCAGGCTGCTGGGATCCGAGTCGAATGAGAGGCAGGTGGACAGACGACCCGTTTGTCCGCCCTGCGCCGTGTTACCTCCGACAGGGCTAACTACCTTACCCCCATGTTGGCGACGTGGACTCCCGAACCAGTCTGTGAAGGTGTGCGGGACGATCCATACGCCTGGTGAAGACAAACTTGAGAGAATCGTGAAACTGGACGGCCGGTCATCTTTGTGACGTACCTTGCATCTAATCAGGGCGCTGTTTCTTTCCACAGTTGGATTGAAATGCAATCAGGTCTTCACATGGTGGAGGAGGCAGTCGAAGCATGAACCGAGTGTGATATCATGTTATTTGTACAAAGCGTAGTGGTCACTCTAGGACTCAGCTACCTTCCCATCTACCTTCTTGATAATGATAACGCCACGACGTGGTCCGTCCCTTGAAACGCCAGAATCTCAATATTTCATATGCTCCCATTTTCCGTGTCGTCGTCAATTCAATTGGTTCCGCTCAGTTGGAGAGCCAGTCAAGGAAATCGGGCGTGAAGTAGCTGACGATGATGGTCGCGCCCGCCCGAAGAATGCCTTCGGTTGACTCAAAGGCCATCGTCTTAAGGTCAAAGACCCCCGCCTTGGCTCCCGCGTGAATCATGGCAAACTCGCCGCTGACTTGGTACGCCGCCACTGGGAGGTCCCGGCCCAGATCCTTTGCATCACTGATGATGTCAAGGTACTGGCTGGCCGGCTTGACCATGATTATGTCGGCGCCCTCGTTGATGTCACGCGTGATGGCGCGGCGGGCAAGGCCGCGACCGCCGGGAGGAAGCTGGTAGCACTTGCGGTCGCCGAATGATGGCACCGAGCCAGCGGCGTCGCGGAAAGGTCCGTACAAGCAGCCGGAGAACTTGGCCGCATACGACATGAGGACTGTGTTGTGGGAGATTCCCTCTTCAATCAGCTTGAGCTTGATGGCGCGAATGCGCCCGTCGTTCATGTCCGAGGGCGCAACACAGTGCGCTCCAGCCCGTGCGTAGGCAACAGCCACATCGGAAATGCGGTCAACAGACAGGGCGTTGTTCAGGGTACCATCATCGCGGAGAATGCCGCAGTGGCCGTGTGAGGTGTATTCGCAAAGACAGACGTCGGTGCAGATGAAGAGTTGGGGGAATCGTTGGCGAATAAGACGAATGGTCCGGATGACGGGTCCGGATGGGTCATCGGCGGCGGTACCGAGAGCGTCCTTAGTACCCGGACGCAGAGGGACGCCAAAGAGCATGACAGATCGCAAGCCCTTGTGCACTAACGCCTCGAGGAACGGCACAAGCTTGTTGAGGCCACGGCGACTCTGGCCTGGCAGAGAGGGGATTAGAGTTTCGTCGTCATCGTTGTCGGAAATGAAAATGGGGTAGATGAGCATAGACTGGAAGGCCACGAGTCAGAGAACGCATTGAGTGACTGCTGGAGTGAAAACGACTGACCTTGGTCAACTGCCTCTCTGCTTGCCACGACCTGGCGAGCGGGTGGTGGTAGCCTCCGTGGAGCTGGCTAGAGATGTCGCCAGAGATGCTGACACTGGTGGCCGCAGTGCTGGCGTACGACATGGCACGCGAGACCTGCGACCGACCGTCATCGATGGTCGAAGCCGAAGCGGTGCCGCGAGGCCCAGGACGGCGGGGCATGCCTGAGTCGCGGAGGCTGAGATCCTGAACGAGGCTAGAGAACGACATGATGGGTTTAATGGTCGTGAGGCGGTCACGATCTTGCTGGAGGAGCAGGTGGCGGAAGAGGCAAAGACGGAAGAGCGGTGTTGGATCTTGGCGGGGTCGCACAAAGGGACAAAGTGCCTGAGGCTGTTGCGTCGACCGACGGCAATTGGAGAAACAAAAGACTCAGGCGATTGATTGAAGTCGGGCAAGCAGCGACTGCGCGGCGCGGGGAAAGCTAGAAAGGAGTTTGCTGATGAGGAAGAAAGTGGTGATGGCGCAGCAGCGGAAACAGATAAAAGGTGTCGTCCGGAATCGCCTTGGCCCGACCTGACACACACGAGCTTTTCCCGCCACGGGGGCCTTCAAGGTCGCATGATGTGGCTCCGAACGACACAAGGGACCCACCACTCGGCAAGTATCGCTGAAAAATCGGCATCTGCCAATCAGCTCTCGGCAAATGACAATCGGAACTCAGCGTTTCCGCGCTCGAGGCCTCGAGCCAGGGATGACTAAGAGAAGGAGCCTCGGCCAACGTCGGTCGGTCTCGCCGGGGCACCAATGTGATTGAAGGACGATGACCGCGATGAGTAGCCATGTAAGCAGTCACCCTTTACCTCTCTACTCAGCATACTCAACGGTTATCCCGTCTCATGCTTGGCTGTCCGGAAGGCAATCGATGCTGGAAACAGTTGGCTGGTAAAATGGCTGTTGAGTGCGTTGGGAGACTCGCCCAGCTTTGCGTACGATGCACGCCAGATAGCATCCAACGAACCGACGCTCGCTTCAATGAACCCTGTATCTGAGAGATATTCAAATCTCCTCAATCTATTGCAGTAGGCAGTATTGCAGATGCTGCCATTTAGTTGGGGATCGTAAGTCGGCAGGCCAAGGCTTCAATGAGGCCTTCCTGAGCAACCGACATGGCTTTGACTAATCACGCGCCAGGTGGACGCTCTTGCATGTTGGTGAGTGTCCCATCTTGCCGACTATTTCGCACATCTCCTCACTCCTATAGCTGCATTGAAACTGCGTGATAGAAAGAAAAGTACAGGTGCTCTCACTAATTTCACAAGCATGACGGCTTCGCTGTGTGCAATGCGACAGGCATCAGATGAGTACTGTGTAGGTTGTGATTACTGTGTAGGTAGGTTGTGAAGTTCGGAGAGCCATTTCTAACAGTAGATGAGGAATCAGCTATTCCATGAGCGAACATATTATCGCTACCCAACTCCTCAGAGCTTACAATTAACCTGAGTGAGCGTAGAGCATGCCCCAATGTCACTGGTCGTTATCAAGTTCTGTTATCTGAAGGGAGAGTCAAATGACTATACGGCAGGTTGTGCATTGGCAGCACCTGCTATGCATTTACGGTGGTGGGCAGATTAGTCCCAGGCAGAAGGAACAAGAAGTTGCGGTGACAGGCAGTTCCTCCCTGCTGCCATTTAATTCACCGTGGAGGCAAACCAATACCATAGTTTCCATCTAGATGTCTGGGTTTGGTCGACTCGCATCCTAAACCCGGTTGAAACGCTACATACAGTTTCTCTACTTGAAGTGCCGACAGCTTACTACTTTTTTGCCCGGCATTTACTACCCTGTTGGAAAGAGTTGCCTCGCGCATTTCGCCCTAGGTTGTACAAGACTGCGTCAGTACCACTGCCTCTGCCTGCAGGCTCGAGAATCAGGATACGATTGCCCTTTTTCATGCAATCACGCAAATCCATCGTAAACAGGAGAAAGAACCAATTTTATATCTACGCAACCCGCACACAACCACATCTGCACCTTCTGCACACTGCTGTTGCCGTTCCAGCATAGCGCATGCATCGTGCGTGTCAAATCCGTACGTCCGGTAAGGAGCACGCCAGTACACACCTTATAGAGCACGACACTCACTAACACAAGCTACACACCCAAGGTCTGTTGCTTTACGAGAGACCAGGGGGTTTACCTGACCTGCCTTAAAGGGCGAAGCCATAAGATTCGGCCTAGACGGGTCGAACCTTTGTATGATCTCAGAGACAATCACTTGTATTCCTGACCATAAAGGCACCAACGAGCTTCACTAAGGTATCAACATGCCACGGCGACGGCGAGAGAGCCAGCGTCTTGGCTCTTTGCATCACGGCGCAGGTATGGGATTTTGTCTTGTTCATCAGCTCTGTTTTCCACCGCGTGCCTTCCGTGCTGACAGTTGAAATTGAAAGTCAACGACTCGGTCAACCAGCTTGCTAGCTTGCTCCTCAACAGTCCCGAGTTAGGCCATCCAGATGGCCTCGCAAGCCACCCATCTGGTTATTTCAGCCAAATCAATGCCGACGATCAGAGAATAGATCTGGCTTCCCAACGCCAGCCCGCCGCCAAGAGTTCACCTGCGAGGGAACATAGACCTCTACGCCCCGCTATTCCGCGCAAGTCTTCTCTTCGGCGTCATAAAAAACAGCTCAGGGCTGATTCCTCACCCCCCGACAAGAGCAATCTCTCGAGGCTCGTGCCCAAATCCAAGACGAGCGACTTGCATCCCCCTAACACCTTCCCGCGACGAAGGCAAACGTCAGATGACCTCACGGGCCGCGTGGGCCTGATCCCGTTTTCGGCTACTGCCCCCCTCACCAGGGCACTTGCAGAGGTAGCAGACACAGACGATGTCAGCAAGAAGCTCCAGAACATGTTAGCAGCTACAGAGGCACTCAAGCCCCACGCAAAGAAACAAGATTCCCGTGTGTCTCGCATATCTCGTAAGCTTGCTACCAAGGCTTCTCATGCCTGGGACCGAATCCAGGGAAAGAAAGATGCATTGCAGGCTACGGCAGTCCGCAAAATATCAGCACCCCTGGAGCTCGGGGGTGGTTCGTACCTCCGAGGTGGTCACTTTGCTGTCGACTCGGAGAGGTCTCTCACCCGTTTTGAAGTGACTAAAACGTACATGCCTAGCAAGGCCTCTGCAGATGGGCCGGAACAGGTTTGTCGACGGGTCGTCTCTCTTTGATCCCCCCGAGCTAATTCTTCCAACGCCGATAGTCTCTTCCAGATCACAGCGATGCTACCAATACGTTCACGGATCCTTCACTCCTAGCTTGCCCAAAGACTCCCACCCGACAAACTGGTATCACAGACCCGGTGACCCCGGTCCGTATCAACCCCTTCGACAGCGACCCCGACTTCAGCACCGATCTGAATGCTGTGTTGTCTGATAGGCCTTTAGGTGCCTCTACTCCCCGAACTCGCCGCAAGGAAGTACCGAATGCACCCATCGGCACACCTAGCTTGGGACAGCAGCTCGTACGAGACCGGGCCATAAGCAAAAACACACCAATCCTCCCCCGCCCGGACGCAGTCAACGTGATGTGTCGGGATAGTATCGTCTCCACAATTGGAGAGCACATGGGCTTAAATTTTATGAGCAGCAAAAAGTACCCTTCTCCTGACAAAGAAAGCCTTGCAGAGCTGGCTCGACAGCTTCAGAAGATGGGCATCCAGGATCCGAGCCCTGGAGATGAGCCTAAGGATGAGTTGAGTCATTCATTTGTGACAAGTCTTGCCTCTGCTCGTACCCTCGCTCCACGCGACAGAAACTTGCCCATGAGCCAGTACTTGGCCAAGTCGGAAGCCAGTGCCTACGCTCCTCTCTCTCTCCGGAAATCTCGCATCCCAGGTCCTGTCAGATCCACCCGTTCAGAAGCACGTTTCGGTCTTATGGCGCATCCTCTTGATCCTGGTGCCACGGAGTTGGATGAGCTGGCGTGATTCGAAGACAGAGTTCTTATGGTGGAACAGCGACACAGCTAGGGAACCACTGGATGGAGAACTCTTGCATACCATTCATCGGACCAGCGGTGCAATATTTCAGCGGCGAGATTTGCAAGACCGATGTTGGAAGATGACAACGGCAGGAAATTATATTACAAGGACGACCAAGTCAGTCAATTGTAATGACGGAATAATTGTACATGGCAAAGAAGGTAGCAAAGGTCCACGGGGACTACGCCATTGTAGAGGCGCATAATGAGAAGACGAGTATTTTCTCCATACATGTCATGTCACGGCAAATGAATACCAGGCGAGTGAATGTAATAAATGAATTATTATCTTGAATCGA